CTGCCGAACCCGCCACATCGCCCCCGGGCATCTGAGCAGAAAACCGTCATGGGATCCGCGTGCGTGTTGACATGGGCTGAATCAGCCCAATGAGAGCTCCAGGAGGTGCGTTTTTTTGGGTAGCAATTTGGGCTGATGTGGCGGCCAAATGGATGCCAAATGCCCATTTATGGGGCGGTGTACTTGAATAGTCCAGAAAAGATAGAAACGGGGTGAAGGATGGGTTTTCAGGATGCTTATAGGGATTTATAGGGAGTGTCCATTGACCGCCTCGACCGCGGGTCCATGGAGGACCGACCTGTGAGGGATTGCAAACCACATCACTGTGGTCAGGGGAGTATTTGGGGGGTGAGACACATTGAGAATCATTGAGACACATCTGGACACCCGGCCACAAGTTGGTCACAAGCTGCTTCGTCTCGAGAAACACCGGGGTCTCGACAAGGCTAGAAAGATCAACCCCGCCCCTCGCCGACGTCTGGCCACGGGTGACCGCCACTGCGGCGACCGGGACCCGTCGACCGTCTGCTGAGGGCTGAGGGGTGCTAAAGACAGGTCTTGCCCGCTTTCTCTCTTCCCAAGCGAAAACCACCGATCGTCGTGGAACTGGGACCGTCTGGGATCTCGCGTACAGTCAGCTGCTTTGCACCGCGCGTCGCGCCCATCTTTGCGACTCCTATTGCGACCACTGATCCGCGTCTTCTGGTCACAGTGCGACGACGGCCGTGGCCGCAGGGTGTGGCACGGATGGTACAAATAGACACAGGGACAACCTGGTGCTGCAGCTTGCATCATGTTCATTTGGTATCGTTAATCCCAATTGTTCAAAGTTGATCGAAATCCTTCAAATGTCATTTCGCATGTCATTTCGCTCTTTCCGCCGACCCTTCGGAGCTCCAAGAAAGCTGGAACTACACTGCTACACCCAGGTTGTCACCTTCTTGTGTTCCTCAAACTTCACAACCTAAGTTTGGAGACGGCCCAGTCAACAAGGACGAACGGCCCTGGACGTCTCCACCGCGGTGAGAAGCAGCCCCTGGGAGTCGGTTCAGGCCCTGGGAGTTGGATGGCAAAGAGCCTTTCCAAATGAGGCACTTTTAAGACAGCAACATTTGACTGGTTCATGGTTGTTTCACACTCCCCCCCCCCAAGTTCACATGCTTGAATTTCGGAACACATCATAACACATGTGTTCTGGGCAACGGCTTCATGCCTCCCAGTTCTCCCAGTTCGGCTTCGCCTTGGAAAACGGTTGTGTTAACGGCAGCGGACTCTCCTCGTTTGGCAGCGGCTCGTTCACCAATTGAGAAACGATCCCACACACTGATGTTGAGAGGCTGGTTCATGGAATCCTGGTTCCCATCGTTTGCAAGACTCCACGACCCCAAAAAAAGGAACCCCATAATGTAACACGCATTAAATATATTATATACCGTATACCATCCTTTCAAAACCATTGAGCACCTGAAGTCCACAGTCATGCAAACAAAGAGCCTTGGCCGGTTTCTGTCCTGTCATGGTCTCCGTGTATGACTTGTTTCAATGCGCCGTCAAAATCTGTTGTTTCGGACTGGTGCAAAAATGTACAATAGTGGAAACTATGGTGTCGTAAAACAAATACTTAAAAAACATAAAACATGCGGAAATCAACAAGCATTGGATCGTTTTGGATCTGGAATCCATTCCATTCTCAAACGCATCAAAAACATTTCATTTGCAGGTGCTGAAACCAGATCTGGACGACCAAAGGGTCGTCAAGCCAGGGATCTTCGTGGCACAACGGTTCAATCACCGAAGGATACGACAAATGATACGAAGGTGCACCGCATGTGGAATTTCCCTTATGTGAATGTGAACAACAGCATTTGGTTGGTAGATTGCCAAGTGGATCCAAGTTGAATAGACCGTCGTACGTGCTTGCAGGATATCGTTTTTGTCGGGGGGGCCTATTGCTTTACATTTGGCATCATTTGGTGCACTTTCTCAGCACGACTAGATTTGTTGACATGTGCGTGGCTCGTGGTCCTGGTCACTGGTCAATGACTAGACGCTTATATAAACTACCGGAGCAAGCACAACCAGTCACTGATCAAGCCGAAATGACAATCGTCACCCACATTGGAGCCATCCCTGATTCCTGCCACTACTATTCCTTCATTTCTGCTCGAGATAACCGTCCACTGCTTTTCGCTCTCATGTGAAGGAGTCACACCCCGCAGCCTTGGAATTGACCAAACCCGGCCTGAGCAAAGTTGACCCTTTCATTTCCGGTGGACAGCAAAGTCAAATTGATGCACATTAGGTGAATCTGCAGTCTACAGGGTTCAATCCGTCCTTCGATGTTCAAAGTGCTGCGTGTTCTTACCATTGATGGTGCACTCTCATCCTGTTCCATCGATACGTACCTGAAGCTGTCCCAGCTGGACCGAACCCACATAACCGGATTGATTCGGAGGTGCCCAGTGACCGCTGCAGTGACCGTTGGAACCAGGTGATGTTCTTTGACCGCTTGTCCCAATACCCCGAATGTGTGGGGGTTCGGAGATCTCTGTGGGGTGGTTTACGCAGATTTTCACTGATGAATTGTGGCGCCCTGTTTTTAGCAAAATGGCGTCTTAGGACCTGCAATATGCGAAGGCGTTGGAAGCGTGTCTATACCCCATCAAAGACGGTCAAAGAGCAAATCCCTGAGCCACCACATGGGAGTTGAGCTAAGACTCTTACGGAAGACCACCCAGTCATCTACTAGCAAAAGGACACTTCGGCCTACCGTTTGTGGGCAACTCACAGCGTCAAGTCGAGTTCAGCCGAACGGCCAGCCGAGGTCGAAGGAACTTGGACACCCCCACACCCCCGGCAGACCCCAAATGATGGAAACAAACTAAGACTTGAAATGACCTCACGTTGGACTTTGATGACTTTGATGCGCTACCAAAGAGGTTAAAGAGGCCGAAAAACAACATCGCCAGTGTTCAGAAATGGCCTCGACGCATCATGCAAGTTGCAAGTTGTCACTCTTTGTGCGACCACTCAAACGTCCAGGTCTGTGTTCACGGATCTGGGTGCCGATTCCGTTTCCACCAGGAACCCAAAGGCCCAAAGGCATACGCTGCAAGTTTTTTGTTCTCTGATTGTGCTTTCTGTTCCCTGATGTCTGTTCTTCCTTCAAGCCCTTTTCTGTCCTCAAACCTGCAAGGGGGCCCCCTGTTTGTGATTGGGTGTCCATTCACCTCGACCGTGGGCCCGAGTTTCCTGCCATCCGACAGTGTGTGATTTCGGGTGACCCGGTCAAGGTTCTTCAATGCCCGGAAGCTCTCCAACGGTTTTGGTCTGTTTTGGTCATGTGGTCCATTGCACAGGAGAGAGAGGCACACCCAGATTGGCCACCCACTTCGCACCGTCGGAGCCTGGACCACACGTCGAGGCCTTTTTGTGCAGAAAAAACGCACCGCAAAGATCTGCCAAGGTTGGAAGGATGCGAAGCGGGGGCCGGGCGGGCCGGCTTCCGGAAGCGGCCCAAGCAACACTCCTCCCCTTCAGGCCTCTGTATATATATACACAGTTTATATACATTGCTCTCTTGAATGCAATCGTGATTGCCGCATTGCCTCCTTCCTTTGGCTCCATCTGTTGGTTCGCACCCTATAAACATGAGTCAGCATGGCCACTTTTTGCGATTTCCTGAGTCCAGTCTGGCAGTCTGCCTACTGGCCCAGAAGCGCTTCAACTGGTTAGTTTGAGCCTGTTCAATACCTCACATCACCTTCTGAAAACATGGGCTGGGTCAAAGCAAACATCCACTGTCAGGTAGGTTAACTTTCACAAGCCAACCCAAAAAGCAGTCCCAGTTGGCCCGGTACAAAGCCTCCAGATAGGAGTTGTCAACCATTGGGGGGCGAGCCATTTAAGATTATACAGTACGTACTGTATGTTGATTGCCCCTTGAAAACTATTAATTGGCTAGGCTATATCCCATTGCCAGTCACAGTGTATGATGATGGTTAGTAAAGGCCTGGCCTTTCTCTAAAGCCAGTGCTACTTGTTTACCGACTGTTACCGGTTTCCTGGGACAGACTCAAACGTTGATGTTCAAGAAAACATGGATCAACTCCTCAACTCCACCAACTCCACCTGGAGATCCTCTTTGAGGGCCTAGTGAACTACGGCCTTTGGTTCACTACTCGAAACCTCGACCCACCAGGTGGTCAGGCCTCGTCAACGAGAAGGTGGTCGGGCCTCACCAAGCTACTAGGATCAACCCTCAACCTCTGCCTGAGCCCACGGAGAAAAGAGCCCAAGCTCTTAGAGTCAATGGTAGTCAATGCCATGTGACTAGCGCCACAGTCACTATAATATTAGATATATAATATTGCCAGAAATTCCAAATTGTGCCAATTGATGCCAATTGTATGCATTTAGTCTAAAAGCAAGCTGCAAGTGAAAAAAACAATGACAAATACCTACATCTTCCTTTGTATGTATTTTTTGGTTGTGTCGAACAAAACATACTTGTAGTTGTTGGGGCAGGCGGCGCAAATTTCTGTAGTGCAGCACCTTTTGGATTTTGGATAGAATGGGGGAAATTATAAACTTTGACACATCACTCACCCAAAAGAAACAAACAAAACTGCGCAAAATGGCACCAAAATGGGGCAAAACGGCACCGAAACAGTGCAATATAGTGCAATTTGTTTGCACATGTTTTTTGTTGCGCTACTGAAAGTCGAAAATGGCAGGCAAACCCATGAAGCGGCAGTTTTTCCAGAAAACGACTGAAACTACATCAAGCGACATAAATTAGTTGAGTTTCACAAAACGACAACAATTTTACATACCCGGGTGTCTTAGGTATGATGACGGTTTCCTGTATGATCCTGTATGCCTTGATCTGCAAGAAAGTAGAGCTGACAACATCCTCCAGGAATAGGAGCTCCTTCTTGCCGAGAAAACTCTGTGAAAGAACATCTGGACAACATCCTGCTGGCTCTGCTGACAGGCGCTCAACATGCTGCTTCGGGTGCCTGGGCGTGTCTGCGTTTCCCGCGAGCGTCTCTCCATGGGAGGATGCCGCATGTCCGTTTCCCGTCGACCGGAGGGGAGCAATGGGGGGTTGAAAAGTCGCAAAAAATGGAGACCACTCGCCACTTGATCGTAGCAGAAGGACGCTCGGTGGCCATTGCTAGTAGGTGGAAGGCCGTCGCTTCGAGAGCTTCGCTTCGGTGACCGGTCGGCCACGTCATTTTTGTCCAACGGTACATGGTTTGACCGTCCTCCAAACTGCACTTAGAGGTCAGTGACTGTCATTGTTGGGCACCTTCCCAACCTTAAAACCATATTCGACGTGTGATGACTTCCAGAGAGACCCAATGGAGCTGAGGGGAAGAGAACCAGGGTGGATTATTCAAGATGTTTAGTTCTCGTTCACGACAGGCTCAATGAATTGCTTGACCTGCAGCCTGGGCAGCTTGGGCAGCCTGCAGCCCCCCTCTTGTCCCCACACGGTCCGTGTGGTGTGAGTGAGGGCTCCTTTGAAGCCTGGATTAACGATCTAAGTGTCAACCCCCTATCCCGCTATAAGTTGAACATAAACTGAAATCATCACCCAGTAGACTTAGAAATACTTAGAACATTGATGTTGAGTTTCTTTGTTGCGAGTGGATCTTAATCAGCGAAGTTTGAAGCTATCACTGACGATCCATAAGCGGCGTAGCGTCGGAACGGAAACCGCACCTTTTCTAGTCGCTTGATCCTTGAGCCAAAGTACATATGGTACATATATATGTACAAGTTGCACTGTACGTGTCGCTGCACTTCCATTCGCACCCCCCATGTGAACGGCAACGATATGTTCCGATCACACACGAAAATTTAGGGATGTAAGTGCTACAAAAGAAATTGTATGATTTGCCGCGAGACTCATATGAGGCTCATACTACGAAACATGCTGGACTAAAGCGGACTTTTACATATAAAGTGTGCAACTATGGCTCAGAACCTATGAAAATCGAATTGAACAAGTGAGACAGTCACGAGGCCTCGCTCAGTATCCACTCAAAAGAGCATCGCTTTGATGTAGATCCGAACTGGTGACTTCCACGTAGATGTCACATCGGCAACTGACTTCACACTTCTCAAAAGATGTAGGTTTTGGTTTGGATACACTTACAGAACGGCAAGTCGGAGAGACAGTCGGTGACTGTCTGCCTTCCATTATGCTCATGGTATCAAATCAGATTGACGATTTGCAATGATACACTTACAGCGTTCCAGGTCAGATAGACATCCGGTGAATGACTTCCTCCCTGGTTTGCATGGTATCCTCGTAGTCGTTCAAAGAAAGCACCACTGGCGATAACCTCTCCATCCACGATGATCCCAGCTGCCCTGAGCATCCCACCGATCATCTTCTCCCTTCTTGGACTTTCCCTTGGACTTGCTCTTTCCCTTCCCCTTTTCAGAAGGTTGAGGTACTTCGCGACGTTCTTGCGTTAGCGCCGGCCTCCAAGATGTTCCAGATTGGCCTCCTCCTTTGGAATGTCCTCGGGATGATGAAGAAGTTGTACCTTCTGCTGCATGTGCGTTGGCGGCAAGATCTTCCTGCAAAGCTTGCTCAAACACATCGGTAGCACTGGATGGTGATTTATCAAGTGGTCTGGCTTTTGGAGCAGCCTTCGCCTTGTTCTCCTCTGCTGATGAGGGCCCGAAACTCTTAGGTGCTGTTGAAGGTTTTGGCTCCTCACTTGGTGCTGACGACGGCTTGGCCTCGGTTCTGGGTGTAGATGCTGGCTTTGCCTCAGCTCTTGACGAAGGTGCTGCTTTCGCTTCAGACTTAGTCGTTGATGTTGACTTAGCTGTTGCCTTGGCTGCCTGCTTCTTCTTGCCCTGAATCTCCTTGGCCCTATCTCCAAAGCCTAGACGATTGGTAAGAGCTTGAACATGCTTATGTTCTACCACGCTCATCCATCTCTCTGTATGTCCAACGTTGGGGTTTCTGGCCATTGACTCTATGACTTCCTGAGCTTGTGGGGGCAACCTGATCTCATGTTGATCAATGATCAACAGAATAGACTTCTCCCACTTGCTCTTCATTCTCGAGTACATGATGTCCAGAGGATCGATCACCTTGTGGTAGGGTGATGTAACGTCGGTTCTAAAGTAAGAATATGTCCGACACCCATAAATCGCATGGATGCACTTCTGTACCAATTCAGTCATTGCGCTGGCTTTCTTCGCTTTCAACTCCTCAAGCTGGGCATCAGTCAAGTTGGTGGGGTATTCGAAGTTGCCATAATCCTTCTTGAAGGATTGCGGAGTATGACCAAATGATAGGATCACGAGTGCCACCTTGCAAATGAATTGCTCTCCTCTGAATCGGTGCCAGGCCTCCTCAGTTGTAATATTGTTGTCGTTGGCAAAGATTAACATCATATCATCTGTTGGATCCAATGGTCTCCCATCGTCATCGATTTCAGTGGAATCTCCTGTACCGAACTTGCTTATCACATCCAGACGCTTCCTTTTCCAATTTGCTTTGAAGTCGGTAAGGCTGGTGCAATAGTAGCTCTTGTACATCAGGGAGATCATGTTCAGCACACATTTGACCACATACCTATCCATCAAACCCGATGCATTCACGGAGACGTCCTGACAGTAGGCTCTCTCTTGATGCGCATAGATTCGAGGTTCCGGTACTCGACAATAGATGGGGAGATCTTCGTTGTCTCTTCCTTCTTCGGGATTGAACTCGGTCGCTCCACGCTGTGCATAGTATCCCGGTTCATCACGATCTGTCGGTCGATTCGCCTCCGGATGTAAGTCGTCGGTGACGTCTTCATCCTCGGGCTCACCATCTTGACGTTTCTTCCCCTCATATTGTTGTGTGCTCCTCTGGATCTCGATGATCACGTTTCGTTCGTCTTCATCTTCTAGATCAGAATCACGACCGTAGTCGATCTCGTCCTCATTGAAAGATGGGGTCTCGACATTGTCACTCTTGAAGTTTTCTGCACCATCAGACGGTTTGGAAGGATCTAGATTGTCCATGTCCTCGTCGTCGTCAGCTGCTTCAGTTTGAGCGATGTCTTCTTCCCAAGCCTTTCTGATCTCGTCCATAGTGGCCTGGTCCAATATATCTTGATCATCATCTTCAGGCTCCTTCTTTTCCTTCTTTTCCTCTTCATCGTCGCTCACAAGATCAACGGGTGAATCGGAAATGACAGTGTTGCGAATACCACACGAGAGTAGCCTGCCTTGACAAGATAGACACACGGACAAAGATGAAGAAGTCAAATGCATACATGATGGACACAAAATATTGCCATCCACGTTGCGATACCCTTCACATGTTCTGGAGATGATTTCGTCCCAAGTTTCCTCACTGATGGAATCCTCGATCAGCTCTCCATTGTTATCGAATCGTACTTCATCGATAAGGGACACGAGCTTTTGGACGTTGTCATCTGTCGCCGAGGCTGACTTCGTGACTTCGTCGGCTCTCTCGAGGATGGTATGCTTCTGAGCAACCCAAAGTCCATGACGTGCCGCTAGAACAACTTGCTCTCCAGTGCTTCCCAGCAGGAGTCTCCTCCATGCCTGAACGTGGTCGTCCCAATACCAAGCACCTCGTACACATCTCCATGGAACTTCTCTAAAAACAACAGTGTAGGAATTCTCCGAAATTCTTCCCCCAAGCTTCCTCAAAGTCATGATTGGAACATAAAGGCAAACGGGCATTCCCACTCTTGGCCATCTTGATCTCAGAATCTTTGATGATCGATCATCCCACGGCGCAAAGTGGTTGAAGAAAACACTACCTCTATATCCATCCGTTCCACCAGGGACAATTCCTAGTTTCATGATTGACTCAATATTGGAAAGCGATGTCATGTGAAAGCTTCCTCCAAGCTGCATTGCCACATTCTCTGGAATGAGATGTGAAGTCCACACAGGATATATTGACACATCCTCTTCAAGAACAGTCTCTCTTCCAGAATTGTGAGAGGCAACAGCTCGAATTGCACAAGGAACGATCCAACGTTCATGCTTCAGAAATGACGGTGCATCTGTGCTGTAGTACATGAGGTTTGCCCAGTATTGCCTTTCCTCTTCGAGTGAGACATCCTCCCTTGAGATACGAATGGCGGCAATCTGATAGCGTACTCTGTTCTGCAACTTCTTTGCATGCCACATCGCCTTGCATAAATACTGGTATCGCTCTGTCTTGACATCTTGACGATGCCGATCACCTGAGATAGTACTGATATCGACACCATCGTTGAAGACATGGTCATATTCCAGGATCTCATCGATGTTCACCCATCCACCCTCATTGCACTTCGGGGACACATGAGGTTTTCGACCGCGGTGCGATTGAATCCCATTATGCTTTCCCACTCCATGCCTGAGTAGTCTATTGAGTCTATGGCTAACCTCGTTGACCCGCTGACTCTCCTCGCTGAACTTGTCGATGCGAGTTGCTGGGTTCATCTTTGGTGGATCCGTGAAAGTTGCATCTCTCTTCGGTCCATTCCAGTACTCCACATAGAATGTAACTCCATACTGTGGAATTATCTCGATGCTTCCTCTATCGCAAGTCACCTCAATCTGCCGATATCCAACCTTTTGAACTTGTTGTGGGTCAGGAGCAAGGTCCTTCACTTTGGGCATCTTTATTCCGAGTGCTGCAGCCTCCTGAATAAGTGCATCAAGTTCCCACTTTCCATTAGGACCTGATCTATCAACCCTGTGATTTGCGACCCTGTACTCTCCTCCTTCTTTGTCATCGGCAATGTCAAAGAGGTCGACGGGCTCTTTGAATCTGGTGACGAAACTGGCGTTCCCAAAGGCCTTCTTGGTTGCCTCGACCGCTTTCGCGTATTCCTCTTTTGCAGAGTCTGACGAGTGTGGTCTACCTTTGTCTCTCGGAGAGTGAGGTGGTACCTTACCTCCTAATTCCGGCTCTTCTTCGGGAAGTTCAATATCTTCATCATCCACATCCATGTAGTCCTCGTCTTCGACGTCT